AGCTCCTCACTCATGCATCACAGCCCGTGGGCAAGAGAACCAGGCGAAGTCGCTCTGTTGAGCCTAGCTTGCGGGGCATCAGAGATGTTTGCTATGTGGGATTGATGCTTAGCCGCTTATGCTGGTAACATCATCAGCCGTCTATTTGACCGGAGTTGCGTCTTGTTCTAATGCAATTCGTCATGTGTCATCGTAATATATGCAGGGGGATGGCAGCTCTCAACTGAGCTTAGCAGCCAGCTTCATATCCTCCTTGGTCAACTGATCCCCCTTTTTCCGGACAGCACTCAAGCGGCCCATCTTCAGCAGGCGTGCGATCATCGCCTCGTCTCCAAAGTGGCTGTTATGTTCGAACTCTGGTTCCTGTGCATACGCGACTCGCGCCACATCCACCATCATCCGAGCGGTCATGCCCCAGACTCGGTACCGCGCCGCCGCGGATTCGTTCTTCTGCTTTTCAAGCTGACCGAGGAGGTGTTGCTGTTCTTCGTTCGCATTCTTCGGCTTGACCACTTCCTCCGAACGAACTGGAACGAAGAATTGATGCACTTTTTGGTGGGAGGTTTGCGTTAGCGCCATCACAAGCACATTTCTTAGGGCCACTCCTCCAGACAAACGTCGCAGGAGAGATAGAAAAGACAAAGCTTACTTCGCCACCGACTCTCATGCCACTCCGTCCACGATCCCCGATACCACTCGGGATCTGCCTCACCCTTGACGCGCAGGAAATCCTGGAATGGGGCGGTAAACACCGCCGCCACCTCCTTGGCATCCAGCCGGGGAATCAACGACACCTCCGGGTCGGCGTTCTCGGCCGTGGCCTCGTCGTAGGAATGCAGCAACGCCACACACGGCCGGACCACCAGCTCCGTCCGGGCGAGGTTCGCCGGCAATTCGCAGAGATGCTCCACGCGAAAGGGCCGGGGCAGACTGCTGTCCGCCTGCGGCAGACCGATCTCTTCGTAGGCCTCGCGGCGGGCCGTCTGAAAGGGTGTTTCGGCCAGAGAATCGGCGCGGCCTTGGTTGTAGTGAATCAGCTCTCGATCCATAAAAAGTCAAGCAAGCAAATGGACATGTACTCACCACCCGGTAACGCAGCCTGTCCAGCATCTACTCGTCAAAACCCCCATCATCAGCATCATCATCAGCATCAGACTCAGCCAGCGCTCCCCGAAGTCCAAGATACAGGGGAAGGTCAATCAATACAAGAACTCAACGTCTTCGCTCTCATCGTCAAAACCACCCTCAACGCCCCCTCCCGGTCCGCGTACAGCAGCACCAAGACCGCCGCGCGCCGGGACAGCGGAGCGAGGTCGTAGTTCGTCGGCGGCGGCGGCGGCGCATATTGTCTGAGTCTGTCGATGGCGGCCTATCCTCATCCACAGGAAAGTAAAGTTGATCAGCCACGAAGACAGACTTGTAAATCGTATTGAGTATGTTGTGAGATCCTCAAAGGCAAAATATTGCGCTTTTCCTCGGTGTGTTCAGGGCCATTGGCAGTTAAACGGTTGAGGGTGGAAGTAGGGTGTAGGGTTGTGTTACGTCATCTCCTCCTTTGTACGACATGTCCTCTTTGTGCGTGTGGTAGCACACCGGGGAGACCAGTGGGAAATGGGACGCTGAACTGGGGATTCGGTATTGCTCTGATATCCTTTCGGGGAATGGGGGGATTCTCTCACTCACTAAATAATGAACAGGGGAAGGGACAGTACCTGGGAAACGGGGTTCAGTCGCGGCATCGTGGTCAGAGATCTTTTGCTGAAGGATTGAGGATGGGAGTATGATCTTCGGGCACTGGAATGGAGCTGAAGGTGGTGGTAGAGGCGGGAGGAGGGGCGCATTGCCTTCTGAATCGAATCTGCATGCGATTTTCTGGACCAAGGATACAAGAAAGGAAGATTCAAGATAGGAATGAACGAATGGTCTGGATGTGTATGTATGTACGGGGCTGGAGACTTGGGATTGGAGTTGGTTGGTTGGGGTTGGCGAAGGGTGGTGGAGGGAGAAAGGTGCCGAGTCCGGGGTTTCCCAGTTGCCGAGGTTGGTGTTGGGGGAGGGGGGATTGTCCGATGGGAGGGAAAACTAACTAACGTAGGAGAACCAGGCCTGTTTGGGAGGGACCATTGTACTGGAACTGCGACTGGGTTCACAGATTGAGGTAGGGAATGGATACAATTAGCGGTGATAAAGCTGAGTATAGCTCCTCGGCTGTCAGGCTGTTGCATGGGCATCGGAAGTCCTCATTTGAAGGTGCTATTTGGCCCTATTAGTAACTGTACAGTGCTGGCACCCTGTACAGCACCCAAATATGGCGGGTCAGTAGGAAGTCTATCATATAAGCACTAACTAACACAGGAGTAGAAAAGAAAAGTAGAGTAATATGTCTATATGTCACAGAGGGTCATCAAATTTCGAAAACAACGCCTACAACAACAAAAAAAAAAAGAAAAAACAGATCCAAAGAGAAGAGAATAGCCTTTATTTCTTCTCCTCCTTGGCAGCGGCAGCGGCTTCCTGGGCAGGGCTCTCCTCGACGCGGTCACCCTCCTTGACGGCCTCCGAGGCCTCGGAGGCCTGCGAGCGCGAGCGGTACTTGACTTCATCCTTGTCGTCGTCGATGTCCTCGATGTCCTGGGGCGCGGAGACGCCCTTCTCCTCGTTCTCGCTGTTCTGGCTGTTCTCCTCCTCGATCAGCTCCTGCTGCTCCTTGATGACCTCCAGGCGCTGCTTGTTGGTGGCGGCGCCCTCGGCGTTGTGGACCTCGAGCTCGATCTCGTGGAAGAGCTCCTCGGGGATGCTCGACAGGACGGACTGCAGGGCCTCGATCTGCGTGGACATCTCGGCCTCCTTACCGCCCTGGGCATAGACGTAGGCGTTGCTCAGCACCAGGAGCGTGGAGGGGACCCCCTGCTTCAGGCGCAGGTCCAGCCAGACGGAGAGGTCCTCGCGCAGGCGGGCGGGGGAGACGCCGTGCGTGCGGATGCCGCGGGAGGCGCACGCCATCTGCAGCTCGGGCACGGACAGCGACTCCACGCCCTCGTAGAAGATGGCCCGGTCGTCGCGCTTGATCTGCCGCATGCGGTGGCGGATCGTGTACCGGAGCATCGCGTCCGTGCCGAACGAGTTAAGGTTCATGTACTTGCAGATGCCCACCAGCTGCGGCCGCGACAGGTTGTCCAGCGTCAGGTCGTCCTTGAAGATCTTGCACACCTTGATCACGTCCTCCGGCGTCGGCGACTCGCCCGTGGTCCGGATCTTCTTGAAGAACTCGGTGAACTCCTCGTTCTTCACCGTCGCCGCCGTCACGGGGAGACCCGATTCCCGCAGGGTGTCCTTCAGGAAGCCCGAGACCTCCTTCCGGGTGGAGCTGAGCTTCAGCGCCTTCTTCTCGCGGCCCTTCTGGCCCTCGTAGGTGCTGGGCAGCATGTTGGGGAAGAGCTTCAGGGCGACCGGAAGCAGCAATTCGGCGAACGGGATGATGACGAACATGGAGAATGGAACCAGACGTCCCAGATCGGACACCGTTCTGCGAAGCTATTTTGATTAAGAGGCTGAATCAGCAAAGGCGTGTTTCCCTGACCGCACGACAACCAAAAAGCCGGCCGCGGAATCTTGCTGCAGTACTGTACTCACCTGGCGGTGCTCTCTCCGGCTGAGCTCGTAACCCGCAGCCATCTTCAGCGCAAGGCGAGAACTGATCTTGACCTCGGTGGCCAAAAGCTTCGTACCGTCCCAGTAGTGCTGGGCTTCCTTCTTGATCTTCTGGCCGAGCGTCAACTTCTTCGTCTCCTTCTTCTCATCGGTCTTCTTGTCGGCATCCGTGCTCTTGGCCGTCGTCAATTCATTCGAGGTTTCCGTGCCGGACGTCTTGGCGGGGGCCGTGACGGACTGTTCGGACGCAGGAACCACCTGTTGAGTGGTACCCTTGCTGCTGGCGGGCTGCTGCTCCGCAGCGAGCGGCTTCTTGGCTTGTTCGGCATTGAAGCCGGGGGGAGGGAGAGGGTCAGAGGAAGAGGATGTGGAAGAGGATGGCTCGGTGGCATAGCCGCGCTGATGGGGGACGAGGATCGCAAGGGCCGAGATGTGGGATGGCAGTCCTCTGCCGTTGAGGCGGAGGTTTGCGGCGGTGTTCGCAGCCAACGCTCCGGTCAAACGCGGTCGGACTAGAGACGCATTACATCGGGATTAGCGATCACATTGTTCGCTAGCAGATGCACCTTGCTGCCGAATTGACCCGCCTAAGAACAAAAAGCTGGATACATACCGACCAGGTTTGAGCGCAGCGCACCGCTGCCGCGCATAAGGCTAGCTGACCTCAGTGTGACGGACATGGCGGAAATCTAGAAAATCGAGAAGCTCGGGGCAACGAGCGAGGGCAACAGATATGCACAGCAATGCGAGATCAGAGAGTAATCTGTAATCCCAGCGAAACACACAGGTATAATCAGAGGCGATAATAGTTTGGAATTCGGGGAGGGAAGTTTGTCGTCGTAGTGCCGTCGGCGAAGGTCTGGAGCAGAGGTGGCTACTTCACGTGACCTCTCCGGTCTTCGGGGATAAAATGGATTTTGTCGCCGCCGAATCGGGAGCTCCGCCTCGCAGTCCCGTCCGTCTCCTCCTAATCCCGCCGGCGAGCGAGTCCGCCTTCCTGCGAGTATTTCGGAGAACCAATCGTCCACTAGTGACTCAGAGCCCGGGCACTCATGCAGATTTCAAGGAAAACCAAAATATGTCATTATTTTCAAAAGAAATTCATTCAGTCATCATAAGAACAACTTGCGCTCTATCTAATGGCTATATCAAGACGCAGAACTAACTACATAGTCAACAAAATCAGGCTAATCCAGTATTGCTCCAACTGTAGAAAGGGAAGGAACGACTATCGAGTTGGGTATCGTGTTGGAGCCATTCAAAATGCAATCACAGCCCCAGAGAATGTGCAAGTAAAACCACCAAGACCGTAGAGAGTAAATAGTAAACTCGTCGCATAGATAGAAGAATCACGATCGTTCCCGCACGGTGGAGTCGGTGCTGGGAACTGCAGCGCTCTCAACGCCAGTAGAAGCCGCAGGGGCATCCAGAAGAGGGATTGCATCAATGCTAGCCTTGTTGGGCTCAGCACTTCCGGTGGTAGTCGACTCGACGTGGGCCTTATCGGCAGAAGATGCGCCCTGATCAGACGGTAGCAGCATTGGGCTGATTGCTCCCTCGGGAGACGAATGCCACCGAGCTACATCTTTCTTGAGTTCCTCCAGCTCTTTCTGGAAGCGCTTGCCAAAGATGTCAATGTAATATGTGGCACCGTTGTGCACACTAAGAATGAAGAGGGCGGTGAGGAAAGCTCCACTGGCCCACCGAGACCAAAACCAAAGAGGGCACGGGATCATCGTTAGAATCGCGTAGAAATATTGAATCAGCATGAAAGCGGGGGCTTGCAGTGATTCAGGGAGGCTCAGGACGAATTTGCCTAACCAGGTCTTTGCATAGGACTTGCGGAGCCAGGTAAAGCTGGTCGGGCGCCCGGCAGCAATCTTCTCCGCGCGTCGGACTGTGATAAAGCAGTGATAGGCAGCTTGCCAGATCATGTATGGTACAGTTGCCCATCCCATCATTTCGAGGAGTGTGAAATGGTCTGGAGATCCGGGCTCGCTGAACTTGATGGCATAGATAGCCGGGAATCTTGCTTTCAAAGTAGCGGCAGATGTCAAGTGGACCAGACAATGCAGAGTCACTGGTGGCATTATATGGATGAACAGACTATGAAGTTAGCTAAGCAGGCTTTCCGATGAGATGGGGGATGGCGAGAGAGCGCTTACCTGACTACCTTGTCCATACTGTGGAATACCATAGAGTTCCGCCACATGGCAATAGCAACCGCATTATTGCCAAATGTCAGACAGAAGGTGCTGATAAACAGTCGCTTTGAGCCGGGGAAGACCCAGATGCTCAGCATGCAGAGCATGTTGACAAAGTAGCACAAATCGGCGAGGAAGTAGTGGTAGCCTCGCTTGTGGTAACCATAGTATCGAATAGGCATGAAATAGGCCAACTGTGCGCTGAACCAGATGTAGAACCACTCCGGCCATCCCCCGAGAAGATAGCCACTGATGAAGATATTGAGGACACCGGCTATGAAGGAGATCTTTTCGCGAAGGGTCACAGTTGCGGTTGCGTTCCATTGCTTGCCCAGTCTCTCCACACCATTCTTCATGCGCCGACGATATTTGTCAAGCCGCTCATCGGCCGTCGGAACCCTTCTTTTCCATTCGCCCACGACGCGTTCCTTAGCGTTCAGAGAGGATGACTTGAGTTTCTCGCGCTGCTTCTGAACCTTCGCCTTCTGTGCATTCAAAGCTTGCTGCAGTTTCTCCAGCCTCTGGGATAGAGAGAAATTGTCAAGCAAATCGAAGACACTGAGCTGGTCCAGCGCCGGAAACGTCTCCCAGTCATCATGATAGGAGAAGGAGGGGTTGCGCGAAAGTCGACCAGGTGAAGCTGGCGGTGAGTAGAAGGTATCGGGGGTTCCTGGAGCTTCGTCCGCGTCGGATAGCTCTTCAGCCATCGCGGCCTGAAGGGTAGGAGAGTCACCGCTAACTAGCGACTCTGTCTTTCTGAATTCGGAGGATCCACTACCTTCCTCCATCATGAGTCTCTGTTCGAACGAGAAAATCGTAGGGCCGTCACGGTTGTGTGGATAAGGCCGGCTGAGAAAACGACCTATAGTTAGCATTCCCATCTTGGCTGGCTGTGGTCCCAAATCTTCCGAACAACACGCAAAGGTGCAAGTAATGGTAGAGATGTGAAGACTGGGGGTGAAAGTATGGGGTAAAGGGTATTTATTGAACTGGGGCATGGTGGACAAATGCACGAGCAATTGACATACTGATAGGAGGCGGCAGATGATGTGCACCTAGGATCGGGGAAACTGATAAGGTATGGTCGTACCAAGGTTGCTGACGATCCAATAAGTGAATGCGGAGGAGAATTTTGATGAGGAGTCCAGCCAGTGTGCTTCAGTACTCAAGGCGCATGACCGTAGCGACAGATGTTGATCCAAGGGTCTTGCGGAGGAAGAAGAGAAAGAAGATGAGGGAGTTAAGAGCAAGTGAGAAGGATGGGAATCTGGGTGTGCACGCGTTGACGTAGCTGGTTGGCCCAGGCGAGCCTGTTGGGTTGCGGCCTCAGGCTGCTCACCGCGTCAGTGGAATCCATGGATGATCGGATGCAGTGGAGTCTAACGGCCCGCACCAAACCAATAGCCAAAGTGCCTGTCCCCACATGGCTTCTCAATCCCCGGAATCCTTCCTGCCTCAAGAGTCAGGCTAGTTAATTAACCTAGTCTCTACGATACGCGGACAAGACTACAATATGGTTGGAATGGCTCTCAGCGCTGATGTCTTGATCATGTCATTACATAGTTCTCTAATAATCCCTGATATGTATGTATATACACCCTTGCAGTACAAATAACGCCCCTAGAGCAATGATGGTCCCCGCAGAAATACAGCAAACAAAGGAGTGTCAGGAAGAAAGCAGCAAGGCAACGGGAAGGCACAGACTTCATCATGAGGGTAAGCTTGTGATACATGCAACTCCCACAAGAAGAGCTTCCGCCCGTTCTAACGTCAGTGATCAGTAACCGTTGTATGGAAGGGTGGCCCAATAGCTCGAAGTGGCACTCTGGCCACTGGGTGGATGTGCCACTTGCTGGGCGAAGTATTCTGGCAAGCTCTGAGACACTGTGGATTGGATGTCTCTAAATGCGCCAGGGTCTCTATTTAACTTTGAGGTACCAGCAACATCAGCTGCCTCTTTTGACAAACCGTTTTCCAGAGAAACTGCACGGCTGATTGTCGAAGATGACGCTGGCGAGAGGGAGAAGCAAGCACTCGGGCTTGCTGAGCCCTTGTCCGATAGCGATGGACTCCTGTCACTTGACTGGAACAATCTCTGGGAATGATCGCTGTCTAGACTCCGCTCCGCAGCCTCTGCTATCTTCTCTGGATCTGGAGTGTATCGTTTGATAGACTTGCGAATAGTTTCAACAGCAGAGCAAGAGTCGTTTGTCGTCTCCTGCAGCTCAGGGACATGACATTGATCAGCAAGGTGAGCATGGAAGACGCGCACTGTCGTGTCACCACCTGTGTCATAGTGTTAGTCCCTGGTTCAACCCGAGCGTGTCAGGGCGATCTCGGCTGTAACGTACTGATCTTTCCGTCCAAATACAATTCTTCCATCTTCCGAACGTAGAATATCTCGTCCAAGACATCTTGCCGCTTCGTGGGCTCAATTTGACGTTTCACGTCCTGGCCTGCCTCCTGCAGTTTCTCGGCCGTAATTCCTTTACTGTCTTTCAGATTACACAGGATGTGCACAAGCAACTTGATCCGCTCTATGATCATAAAGTGTTAGCATTACAATAGCGGTCATGGCATCAAAGTCTGATCTCACCAGGCTTGAACAGGTGGTCGGGCTCTTTGTGTGTCACCCCAGCCGGCCACCAGTTGGGCTTGGTTAGCTCTGGGTCCATCCTCTGTGAAGCAGATGCCGACGTTCGTCGGCCATTGTACGGATGATTGACCTGCTTGCGGGGCTCTACTAGTTTGATGAATGCTTTTGCGATCACTCTGCAGTTCAACTGCTGGAATTTTTCGAAGGCCCTTTCGTAGTAGTGCCGGAGGGTTTCAGTGTCCCCCAGTCGGAGAATTGTTGCTCTTGTTGCTGAGCTCTGCTCATTTTCCGAAGTCGAACCCAGAGCCGAAGCGGAATCGATTTGTCTTAAACTTTTTCGGGGACGCTTGAAACGCAAGGACACCAAGTCACAGGGTATGAGTCCGGCTGGTCTTGTTGTGGCTGAATGATGAGACCAGGAAGAAGTAGAGGAAGAGGAAGAGTAAGTTGCCGCCACCGCTTCATCTCCGGACATGTGACCTAAAGAGTTGGCTGTTCGGAACACACCTCTTATTACTGATGCGTTCCTTCTTTCAAATGACAGACCTCTGACTTACTCGTATTCAGCTGCCATGCCGAGGCCACCGACCTCAGGAATCTCCCCTGCACCTCCTCCGTGAAAATCTCTCTCTCACCCCCTGCAATGGAAGGCGACCCTTCGGAGCGAAGCTGTCCACTATGGTCGATATACAGCAACGCATAATGGGAGCAGCGCAAAGCAGATGCCAGACGTTGCATGTCCTATGCACAACATGTCATAAGTCAGATGACCCATCGTTTCGCCGGCGGGTTGGGAAAATCCCTTACCGTGTGGTTCGACTGAGCAGTCATATCGTGGGATGACAGCAGATGCTCACGGTCCGACCCTTTAGCTTCCATCAGCCGATTTGTTGCAACCTCTTCACAGTTTGGACTTGTCATACCCTTCAAGATACAAGGGTCACTGCGTCCAATCACGCCGATTGTCTATGTGTATAAATGAAAGCAGCCCACTCGGAAAACTTGGAAACTATGCTACTGCGCCAGCAGATGCCGGTATTCCTTTGTGAAGAGAAGCTCCGAGGTAGCAAGTAACTTGAGATGTATCTTAAGCTCGATTCTCTTGGTCTCGGGCAACAGGTTATATAGGTGCGCGCAACCACCATGTATCGCGGCGAAGGCGCCGACTGAAACTTCCCATCGGGGTCGACGATCGAGGGCAATACGAGGCCCGAACAAAAGTACCTGTGTCAACATTTGGATTACACTCGACCCTGTCAGTGGGGTTCAACCCAGCTTGGTGGCGGTTCTGACGTGCAAAACTAATGCAAGGATAACAAATACCCACAGGCAGAGGCCAGGCACTATTGCACACAAGACTTTTGTGGTGCTCCGCATACTATAGACTAATCCCGGTACGAGCAAGGTGCCTGATGAATTTACCTTCATACTTTGCCTCCAAATTCCCGGTTTTGTGTCGTCGAAAATTGCATATGGCTGCCTCAGCTGCTTCCGACGCCCAAACTAAGACTCTATCTGGTAATTTCAGATGGATGTATTTGTCCTACTGCATCATGCACAAGCATACTATCAATGTTTAACGAGGTCGCGCCAACGGCGCATGGCACAGCGAGGTCTACCTCGGGGGGCAACCTGGCTGTGGATTTGCAGCTTGGAAGGCGAGCATGCCTGGCCGCAAAACTGCCAGAATCTCCAATATGAGTACAGTCGCACAGGCAAACGGCCCTGAAGGTTCAGGACAGGGTTACGAGGTTTGGAAACTGTCTCTAACTACTCCGTACCGTACGGGCATTTCATCACAAACTTCGATCGGCGAGTACGCTTGACTCCAATGTTCACATTGTAAGAGAGACAAGCGTCCTGTCCAATGATCATCTGATTTGGCTATGTTGCTGATATCTGCGACGCCAATGGCGTACGCAGCTGATGTCGAACCCAAACTTCCTGCATCAACCAGCAGCTAATTCGCTATTTCTAGCAGCGAAGATCACATGGCTTCGGGAGGTACTCGGAACCTATAATCGGAAATTGATGATAGGCTACAGCTGTCAATTGCTGCCATCCTTGTGGCATGTTGGTGCTGCGGCAAGTTACTATCTCCGTACGGGAATAGTATTGCTAGAGTGACAGTTGACCGACTCTGACTTAAGGCTTTCCACCAGTTGGAATGATTCCATGCTTCAGGCCACTCTGGTTTAACTTCGATGATGGTTTCGATTTAATCTCTGCCCTAGGAGCTAGTGCGCTTATTGCGGAGGTTGGGCGTAACCACTGTACCTGGGTGTCAGAGCGAGCTCATAGCCTGACCGCTGATCGCACTGATACTTTTTTTCCCAGTCGCTTTCATGACTGGCTCAGCAACAAGGTTTCAAACTGTAACGCAATGTCCCTTAGTGGCGCACGGAACAGTCCTCAGTTTCCCGATAGGCTTGTGCGATCTCGAGCTTGTATGTCGGTCGATTCAGATCTTACCCTCCAGGCCACTCTTCAGAGTGCTCTTCGAAAAGACCAAAGAGGAAACCCCAGGGCCACGAATTGAATAGCATCCAGTTGCCTTCAATTGCATTGTTTCTGGTGAACAATCAATGCAACGGCAATCGCGAATATGGCATCCGACTATGACGATTGGCTTCAAGCATTTTCACCGATCCTGCAGTCAGAACGGTCAGGGGAGGTAGCAAACATAGAGCTCCCTTGGAAAGCTGATTGCCGATCTACTTGCATACTAACTACTGTTGCAGTCACTCAAATCGGGAAAAGTCAATGATTGATGCAACAGGGAAGATAAGTTAAGTGACTCCACTACTAAGTCAGTAAGCAAGTAACGGCCGTCTTGACTCGGGTGCGGGGGAAGTTGCAGTGGCAACGAATCCAACCCTTCTTCGTCTTCTTCATTTCCAAGCAAACAAATCATCACTCTCTCCTTCAGGCGCAGCTTCCGAATCTCCCAACACCCTGTTCCCTCTCATCAAGGGCATAGAACGCGATTGCCGTTACGGGAGACCTGCAGCCAGCAAAACATCCCCGTCCGTACAGAATTATGCGGGAGTGTATTCTTCCAGGAATTTTGACATAGTGGCTTGCAGAATTCGGGATCTGAGCACTCACTGCTTCACACGGGCCAGGTGAAAAGACCACATCCCTTGCAAATAATGACAGTGCCATGTGTCATGATCATTCCTGCCATGGCGCTGGAATGACTTGCCAAGCCGATCCATAAGCGATCAAAGTTATGCAGAAGTGACCTGTCGTTCGGTTCGTGACGGGGCCTCACTCCTCTACCGGTGGATAATCCGCTGCAGGAAGAAAAGTGATTAATCGAGCTGTGCGTTGTGTGGTCCACCGCGTAAGGCATCCATCCGTCCTTCAAAGTCTATCCAGCAATGCCATAGCCAGGTCTGTGGCTCCAAGTTCACATATCGCACCACTAATCCGGACTTAGAGTTTTCTTTACACCGATCATTTGATCTGTCAACTCCCTTTTCCACGCAACGGGGGATACGGGATAAAACTGACTATTGACTCCACACAAGCTCACGTCCCGCTGTGGCTGGGCTTCAGCGACGACGCACTACTGATAGGGATCATGTTATGTTTAGCTCATTCGGAATTGACTATTGACTTCTGCCTTACTGGGATTGGGGCTAAATGCTCCGAAACTTCGGTCTGGTCTTGGATCGACCAGAAACTCCACCCCATTGCCTTCTCCATGGCTCTGAAACATGATGGACGGACCTTTGACGTCAAATCTCGGCCTCTTTCAAAGCGGAGGTCGATGATCACCATGGTGGACGTGCTTGCCTCTACTGATCGGCTGACAGAACGGAGTTCGTCACTCCGTACATCAGTCTGAATGCAGTACGGAAATGGGCCACGAAATCAGGAGAACAGGTGGATGTGGTGTATCCTGGGGTAAGTTACGAGGAATACAGGGTAACTTAGTGAACATGATTCAACAGGTCCAGCTCGACAGGACGTGGCTTAGCATCATGAGACACGCGAGCCCCTGTTGAGGGCCTAATTTCCTATTATCTGCAACGATGCGCACCGTCCCAGTGCTTGCTATAAGGCTGCTGCAAACACGGCAGCCTGCTTTGCCATGCTTGACAGTCTGAAGAGCAACCCCCCTTGGAAAGCCATCCATCCTGCATTCACCATTCGAAATCCTGACTCCTACCACGTCAAGAGAGCAGCGCTCGAATAAGGAACCTCGATGCTCACTGTTCCATCTCTGCTAACAGGAACTGTCTCTCCCGCCGTGATGTTTGCCAAACGCACAGGCTTCCCATTGTTCAGTTCATAATTGTACGACCACCCATCCCAGGTGATTCCTGTGATAGCGTCACTACCGTTGGCTATCAGCCGCTGCACTGACACGGTGGTTCCCGCAGCAGCTGAGGGCACTTGGAAAACATAAGATGCGTTGGGTCGTTGGCTGCTGCCCGTCGTTGTCGACCCGGTGTAATTGAACTCCACCAGGTTGATGACAGCAATCCGGGCCAAGGCACCATTCACGTACGCGGCATATGCGGCCTCGGTGTCCTGCTCCAGCGGAAGGTTGGCGATCTGGACATCATCCTTCTCGCCGCCCTCGCCGCCGTGGAGCACAGCCGCCACCATGACGTTGCCGTAGTAGGGCGCCTTGGTGCCAATGGTGGTTCTGTTGGTGTCGACCGGCTGCCAGGAGGCGTAGCGGAAGTCGCGGCCCTGGTGCATGTGGGTTCGTCGGATGTTCTGCGATGCGCAGTAGAGGTTGAAGTCGACGCCCCAGAGCGCCGCACCGAACGAATTGGAGAGCCCCGACGCGCCTTCGTTGTACAAGGAATTGGTCTCTCCCAGGATATACGGGATATCCGTGGTCAGGTTCTTTTGGAGCAGGATGGTCGAGACATTGACATGCTGCGCGACGCTCTGGACCGTCATCGTATGGTTCATCAGTGTCTTCTGCAGTGTAACGCCCGGTTGCGTGGCGCCGCCAATGTAACTGCCCCAAACTTCTTGTCAGTACACGGGCCGATAAATTTACCTCCCACACACATTGAGCGAACAGCAAAACATTCCCCCAAAAGCAGAAGGAGAGAGACGCACTTATGCTCCGAATTCAGCGCGATATTCCCCTTCCTGTTAAGCCCATTCTCCCACGTCACCACCGGGTTCAGACTATTGGAGACCCCCGCAAACGACGGCGCGATATACTTGACGTCCGCGAATTCCCCGGAACACGACGCGCGCATCTTCTGCTGGATGGCCGTCGTCTTGTTTACCCACTCATTCACGTAGTCCCGCTCCGTCCAGGAGGGCGGCCGCACCGCCCCCTGCGCCGAGGTCTTGTAGAGATCGGGCTCGTTGCCCAGCTCCCAGTAGGCCAGCTTACCCCCGGCCAGCGCCGCGCACACCACCGGCACCGTCTCCAGCAGCTGCGCGAACTGCGCCGAAGTGTTGCGGCCCAGGTTGAAGCCGTGGATGAACCGCGCCCCCGGCCAGGTCGAGTAGGACTCGAAGTACGAGGGCCCGATTGTCAGGATCAGGGGGTAGTCGGTGCTGATGCTCGGCACGTACGTGCCGTTTGTCGCGGTGGGGAGGGTCGGGTCGTAGAGGGCGAAGTCTCTTGAGGTTGTGTTAGCCATGAATATCTCAACAGATGCAGGGCAAACTGCTTACTGCGTAATCCCTCCCACCCGGATAAAGGGCTTGACTCCCTCCAACTCGGCCAAATTATCCAGCAAGTTATTCGAGAAGGTATTCGGATGGCTTCGATTCCCTGGAATCACCTGGTTTTAGTCTTCAATTCTTGTTGTATACGCCACCTCAATCATCCCCAACTCCTACAAGCATAAACCATTGCGTAACCTATCCTTTCCCCAATCACACTAGACAACCCCACAGCAGAACAGGGAAAGAGAAGGAAAAGCATACCCGCATAATCCGGAAAGAAGACAAACTCAATCGAGAACGACACAAACGGATGCAACACGGGCAGGCCAGCGGATTCGGGGACGGATTGGTTCACGACGACGACAGAAGAGGAGGAGTTGTTAGGCGCCGTGACAGCTGGAGCTGCGGTGACGGTCGTGTTCAGGGCTGCTAGGACTGCTAGGGCTGCTGTGAGCAACCGACGCTGGCGGTGGAGGATCATTGTTGCTGGTGTGGATATGGCCCGGTCCTAGAGGATGGCATACGAGGTATTGTTCGTATGTATATAGACAGAACTGCGTGTGTCACCTGGGAAGAATTATAGTGGTTCCTGGTATGTACAGTACATGAGCTGTACGTCGGAGGTGAGTAGGACATTGCGTCCTATGTGTTGGGGTATATATATCACTGCATCCTGTGCAGCTCAGCGGTTATTGAACGGGGAGGAGAAGGAGGAGGAGGAGGAGGAGGAGGAGGAGGAGGCCATTAGCTCGCCTGCAATGAACGGAAGTGCGATGTAACTTCATCAGGATCATGAGGGGTTTATTGGCGGAGTTGAGCACGGAATTCTTCCGGGGGTCAGGGATTAAAGAGAGCTGGAGATGAAAGGGTCTGCGGGGATGGGCGGGGGTGGGAGGGACGATCTCTGGGGGTTGGTTCACTTGCGAGAGAGCAGCTCTGCTGTCGATACTGGCTGGCCGGTGTCGTAAGATCCGGACTTCTCTCCGTGGTCGGGGTAAGATCCTAGAGACGGACCAGGGTGAAGATCAGGAAAGCAGAAAGAAAATTCCCATTAATCCGTTGCACGATAGCTAAAACCATTTTGCTCATGCTCATCAAAGAGGAAAAAACAACATGACTACAAGAGAATGATATATTCTACACATCACACGAGAGTCAGGTAGCCTACTCCATTCCACCCAGTCTTTCCGAATCATCGTTTAGTTGTATTTACGGAGCTGCACGAAGGGAGTCAATTAGTATCTGAATAAGGTCTGGGAAAAGAAAGGTTCTCACATCAAGTGTCAGAGATTTACTGCTGTTTTCCACCTGATCTCGGTAGATTCCAACCAGGGCTTCACTGTTTTGGAACAGTCCGTTCTTCAGACTGATGACGATAAACTGCATGCCCGGAGCAGCGTGGTCGTGGATGTAGTTGGCGATGCGAGCAACGTTGGTGTTGTCGAGGGCGGCATCGACTTCGTCCAGCACGAAGAAGGGAGACGGCTGGTAGGAGTGAATCGCAAATAACAAAGCCAGAGCGGCCATAGTCTTCTCGCCACCGGACAGATGTTCCATGTCCCGGAAACGCTTCAGCGGAGGCATGGCGTGGTACTTGATACCGTCGAGGTAGGGCTCGTCCGAGTCTTCGATGTCCAGATAACTAGTCACCACTCTGTTAGCATAGGGGCGAATGGAAGGGGCTCCAGTCGGGCTTACGCTTGGCCGCCCAGTGGGTAGTTTGCGCTCTTCGTCAATTCGCGGTAAATCGGGCCAATTTGCTCGGAGATGTGAGAGAAGGCTTTGTTGAAGAGATCTGACCGCTGGCGCATCACATCTTCAAACTCGTCCTTCGCCCTCCGAGCACGCTTCCGGGCATCTTCGAAGTCCTTCTCCGTGGCTCGAAGCTTGTTCTCCACGCTCTCCAACCGCTCCATAGCGCGTGTGTTGGGTGCCATCTTGTCCAGCTCGCTGTTGAGAGACCGGACCTTCTCGAGCAGTTCTTCTTCAAGCTTCTCGTCATCCTCCTATCATTGAATTAGTGGGAAGCCTTGTAGTCTGACGCTGAGTAACCTACCTCTTTGAGGGTGTCTCCAAGAGAGTCAAAGTCAACCTCGATGCCATAGTCCTGGACAGCAAAAGCGTCTCCAACCCCGTTGGCATCTTCATCCACATCCATGGCGTCTGGATCCGCTGCTTGCATCAAATCATCAATGGGAAGCTGATCCAGGGGGTTGGAGTCTTCTGTCAGCGGGATATCGATATCTTCCAGCTTACAACGCCGGAGAAGAGCGTATCGACTGGACGAGTTGCGTTGTATCTCTGCCTCAAGGACATTGACATTCTTCAAAGTGCCCTCAACTTCTCTGGTGCGCTTTTGGAGCTCCCTACGGTGATGTGTCAGGTTCTCCGCCGACTGAGCATATGCCTCCTTCTGCTCCTCGAGCCGTTCTCGAAGAACGTCAAGTTCAGCATTGTACTCATCCATTTGGTTTCTGATGCGCTCCTGTTCGGCCTCAAGCTCCTGGATCAGCTCCTCGTCACGTTGATACTGTGCCTGAAGGCTAGCAACGCGGTCGACCGTAGCCTGCAGTCGTTGCCTCTCAAAGCTTAGCTGGTTCTCAATCCTGCTCTTTTGCGTCGTAAACTCGAGCTTCTTCTGAGCTGCCTCCTCCTGTAACGATCCCTGCTGAACTTCGTACTCGCGGATGTTGGCATAGCCCAAGCGCTTGCAGAACTTCTTGTACACTTCGTCCTCTACACTGCTGACCTTCTGTTGAGATGCTGCGATAGTTTTATCGAGGTCCTGTAGCGATTTTTCGCGCTCAGACAGCTTCGGTCGCATTTCTTCGAGCTGACTTCTAACGAATTCTAATTCGCTGTGCTTGCTTTCGAGGTTTCTCTCGAGTGCTTTGAGCTCGTCCCGAGCGTAGGCAAGACGTTGCTCCAGGCCAACCAAGTCACCTTGTAGCGTCTCTTCTTCGGTGCCGCGGCGATGACCCTTGGGTAGGTTGGCAAGACCAGCCAACAGCTTGTCTTTGAGCTTGTATAGATTCTCCACCTCAGAGTCTTCCCAGCGCTTGGAGTGCTGCTGAGGCCCTTTACCACCGGTCATCAAACCACCCTTGTGAATGACGGTACCGTCGAGCGTGACGGCCTTGGCATCCACGTTCCTCTCATAGCAGAGATATTTGGCAGTCGCCAAATCATCGCAGACGATTGCGTTTCCGCATGCGTAGCTAATAGCTCTGGCAACCGAGTCGTCATAGTCGACGGTCTCGATGGCTGGACGCATTCCGCGGTGTAGGCCCTTGAGGTTCGAGTTAAAGGCCTTGACCTGGATTGTCTCGAGTGGGATGAAGGTGGCCTGGCCGGCTCTCTGGTCGCGAAGGTGCTGAATGCACTCCTTCGCCGTCTTCTCGTTGTCGACAACAATCGCGTCAAAGTGCCGACCCAGGACAGTGCTAACTGCCTCGGAGTACTTCTTCTGCTTGGGCTTGCAAAGGTCACTGACGCGGCCCTTGACTCCCGGGAAAATGCGCTTGAGGGTCGAGATCAGCTCCTTGGCTCTGATTTCTCTCTCAGACTGCTTCCTCCCATCATCTGCGTCAAGCAGTTTCTTCAGGACTACCTGCAACTTTTCCTCCAATTCCGTTCGCATCCGAGATACACGCAGGCGTTCAGAGGTCACAGCATTGAGTTCCTTCTTCTTGCGGTCAATCTCCTTGGAAGTTGTTTTGACTGTATCGTTGAGGGAAGTTTTGCGCTGGGCCAAGGTCTGCGTCTCAGATTCCAAGGTCTTGAATTGCCAATCGGCCCCTTCGAATTTGCTCTTCAGGCTGTTCAGGCCTTCGGCTTCGGTCTTCCGCTGACGGCGCAGGTTGTCGAGGTTCAGTTGCTCAGCAGACGATCTCTTACTGACCTCTTCTTTGAGCTTTTCGTACTCCTGCAGGTCGGCCTCGCTCAGCTGGCCACCCTGCTTGCTCATAGTCTTCTGCCATTCTGCCTCCCACTGGGCCCGCGCCTTGTCGACGACCTTGAGATCCTTCTCCAGTTGTTTCACATTCGCCGACTGAGTGTCTTTCTCGCGGGTAATTTCTGCGATACGAGAGGCAAAGCGTTCGACCTTCTTCCTGGTGATATCGACCTTCTCATCAACAGGGACGAGGGCGTTGGCGGCCTCCTCAATGTCCTTCTCTTTCTTGACAATGTTCCTCTCCGCCTTGGCGACATCCCGACCGACCATGGCGTGGCTCTTCTTCGCGTCCTCGACGTTCTTCTCGTACTTCTCAACACCGCGGCGGAACTCCTTCAGCTCATCCTGGTACTTCAGGATATCAGCACTGGATGCGTCGATCAGGCGCTGGAAATGGAAGAGCTTCCACAGAATGTGCGTGATGATCGCTTGATCACGTTCCTCGGCCTTTCTGGCGTAGTTCTCCGCTTCCCGCTTCTGTTCCTGGTACTGTTTGATCTCCGAGTTGATGCCCCGGCGGCGGTTGAGCTGCACGGTCTGTGATTCCGCCGCCTCCTCAGCCTCCGCCTTCAAACGTTCATACTCAGCCTTGTACTCCAGACTGCCCGAGATCTGCTCGATCAACCGCGTCAGGTCTTTGGGGGACTGCGATGCGATGGCCTCGACGTCACCCTGGAAGACGAGGAAGTTGCGCGCCTTGATCAGGATGTTCTCGGCCTCGAGCGCTTCGTTGTACTGCTGCGCAGTGACCGGGCGGCCGTTAATGCGGTACTCGCTGACACCCCCGCTGGTGATCGACCGCCGCCATTGCTGTTCCTCGCCCGCATCGTCCTCGTACACCGCCATAACCCATGCGGTCCGGGGGTCACTCGTTCCGGTCGGGTCCTGGGACTGTTCGCCGTCGATCTCGTCTTCGGGCTGTTCCTCCCCGTCCGCCACCCCGTCGATAGCATTGCCGTTCGCATCCACCTTGGATGTCCGCAGGACACGACCGCGGTAGACTAGGTCGCGGAGATTCGTAGATCGCAGATGAGATGATTTGATACCGAGAACGAACGAGATCGCATCCATCCTGATCGATTGTCAGCACACACTTCCCTTCGCGATGCGTGTTCCGCGGAGGGGTTCATTCCGAGGTGAATGGGAAAACGCACGAGTTCGATTTGCCGGACCCGTTGGGCCCGATGATGGATGTGAAGTACGCATCTCCGAAGAGAAGGGTGTGGTGACCCTTGTAAGATTTGAAGTCTGATGCGGAGGTTAGTGGCTGGCATGGGGGCGTCAATCAGATGAGGTTCTGCATACTGAAAAGCTCAAGTCGGATGAGCTTCCCCATTTTGCGACAGAGGGGTCGCGCGTTGCAGCGACCACGCGAGAAGACGGAATTAGAAATGCAGATAGTAGATGCTGAGGAAATGGAGGAGCTGCGCCCACCACGAAATGGGGAGAAGGCTGGATTAGCCCGGGCTGCACGGAGCAAGTGTGGAGGGGCTCGCGCAGCATTCACTACTTTGGTTATCTCGAAGTCGCGTCACGGACGGTTGATTGATTGGGGGGGGCGGAAGACGCGCTGCGGAGAGGGTCACGTGACAGCCATATTTACTTCCACTCCGAGTAAGCAATCGACTCTAGTTGCTACGCATGCGTCTTGTTAAAAAAAAAAAGGTGCTGCTTAATGCTAGTTTCTACTATATGTACATGGTAGTTCGAGGCAGCGGTAGGGCTAAGTGCAGCAGCCCCAGAACATAA